AGTTTGCATGACTTGTGGCACTCCATACTTCATATGTAAATCTAGATGGAAAAATGCTACACGCTTCTAAAGGTTACGTACCTTCATACTTTTTCTTGTGCCACGTCGCAAGTTTCACGGATATCATATCCATATTCACCATCTTTAGTTCCCCACGCTTTGTCTACAGGTTCCATCCACCGCACTTCTTTCATTATATAAAGTGTCACTGAAAATATCAAATCTATGAAATCTTCTCTATCTCGACACTTTGATATAAAAAACGGTAAATCTAGGCCGTGAGTCCAGACTACCCCAGAAAGTTGATCGTTTTAAGGCTGAGTTCTATTGATCACGATGTTCACGAGGCAAAGTTGAATCCAAATGGGTGTATGATGACCAGCCAAGACTTGCTTCTTTTCCTTGAGGGGTATGACGTTTGCCTTTGCGTGAGCCCGATCCATTGTACCGCACAGGCAGATTCAAACAAGACAAGCAATGCACAGATTTTTTATAATACAAAAGGCAACATATACAAGGGTAACGGGGTGAGGCTTAGCAGCTTAAGAAATGTCTTTCATCTAGCTTAGCATTACTTAGGTCCGCCGCCTTCAAGTCTCGTAAAGTTTCTGTCTCCAGTACCTTTATAAAATGGAGATTTTCACCAATTTAACGTTGACGCTTCTCGTTTTTTGGAAACGGTATGATGGACGGGATGGTCGAAAAACAAGCCGTATATGTTTGGGTAGTCTCAAGGAGATGGTAACTGGTTTCTTTGATGGGAGAGGGGCTGACGCCGTTGTAGCGACACGCATTATGAACTCCTGGATATTGTTATCTATCTTTCGCAATTCTTAATGAATGAACAAGAAATTGGAGCGCGCTCGGAACTACTCTCTAAGGCGGTGCAAACACCTTCGGTGTAGGCCGCCTCGAATTAACGCATGTTGAAACGCCTTCTCCACGAAAATATATATAATTTTGTTTTGCACGCGGCCACCTGGTGCTTGGAAATGATCCGTCGATTTTATTCAACATGCTCACATCAAGACTGTAGCTGATTTTCATGTTTTTTCTCAGTAGGATTGAGAGTCACGCACAGGATACCCGACGCTATTTCTGATAGTCAAATTGTTCAGAAGCCGCTGGGGGAGGCACAACACACACAAATTTGCTGTGGGTAAAAATGTTGCATTGACTGCATCGAAATTCTCTACACAGGCAGTGTTGCTGGTCTATAAGTCTAAGGTGCGATTTCGCTGGGTCGGGCATTTCATGATCGTACCAATTAGGAAATGCGTCACACTTTTAACATCCAGAGTTGAACAAGCACATCGGAGGTCCTACGTTGGGCTTGCTAAAAACGTATGACTATCTAGCTGTAAGTGAGAAATTCGAATGCAGGTAGAGAATTGAGTTCCACTGTCGATCAAAAAGCAGCGGTATCGCTCTACACGAAGGTCGTCCGTCACCTTCATGGGCAGTCGTCATTATTGCTTTATTGTTTCCAAAAGGATGCTGCCGCTGCGAAAGTTAAGATATTATTTCCGGACATGTTTCAACGGTTCTCACGTTCTTTGATAGGTAACAAGAACTTCGAGCGCGATTCGCTGCGCGAACACCCACGACAGACAAATCTCCCATTTTGAAAACGCCACTTGATCAAAGGTTTTGCCCAATCTCGCGCTCGGTCGCACTGATTGGAGATGGCAAGCACGACCTTGTTCCTTCGCTTGAAGCATGATCGAGCTCATGATTGTCTCGACTTTTTTCCGTATCCTGAGGTAGAGAGATATTACTCGGGCATCAAAGACTCCGACACCTAACGTCAGCGGCCTCACGGTGGTGTGACGAGACCGCTTATTACACGTACTCTTGCACTGAGGCAGCGCTAGCCTGAGGCTTAGTCATTTCGCGTGGCCGTCGTACGCGCGTTTTAAACCACAACTGTGTGTTGATCAAATGAAGGTTAGGTGCGTATATTCTAATCCTAATCTTAACCTAAAATAAGAATTAATGTACCTAATTGTAGCCGCCTACTAATTTGCATATTGCACACTAAGTTAATCAGTGTCCAAGTGTGTACCACACACACTGTGTAATGGGCCTACAATCCGATTATTGATGTGACTAACCAATGATAGCTATAATCGTATGAAGCTGATATCATTATCCGACATAAAATTCATCACCCATTCTCCGACAGAATCCAGTTTTTTACGATTTTGTCGTTGGATTGACCACAAGTGTTGCAAACAACAGGGTTGTCATGCATTTCGCGCTGTAAACTCAAAGTCGGCGTCTCGAAAATCCCAAGCGTCGAGTTTGACATTCCAACCAGGAATGTGTCTATCGCGATATTAAGCTCTGTTTTTTAAGAGTATATACTATGCTGACAGTGGATATATATGTATAAGTATAAGTTTCGTCATATGTAAATTGTCATTATTTTTTGGCGTATCTTCATAAATATCGATACTTTGGTACTTAATAACACTCACAATTACACCAAAGTGCGATGTCATTTTTGTATTTGAAACAATTATGAGAGAATTGAATTAGTTCTTGTAATCCAGACATACTGTAAATCCCCGTTTTATGGAGAAAATCAGGTGGTGCAATCTCATATGTTTGATGACGAAGAATGTTGCACTTTCATCTGCATGGCATAGCTGTAAGATAGAGCTCAAAAGGCTGCGAAAAAACTTTAGGATTGGGTGACCAGAACCAGTTCTTCCTGATCGTTGATTCTACGACACCAGTCTTAAAATGCTTATCGCCGGGTCATTACTCTTCCTCGTATGCTCCACCAGCGCATATAATTTCACCCGATCAACCTCTTCATA